AAAATGCTCTTTATTTCTCAGATGTGATTTTCATTACTCCATTAGCATCTTGAGACTTCTTGATATATCTTTCTTAGCTAAGATTGTGTCTACTGTAGACCTTTTCAAGCCATACTGCCTAGCAACATCAGACATCTTGTGCCTACTTTCTACCTTGGCTATTATCTCTTACTAGGTTTCTACGGTGAGCAGTTCTTGACAGTTCTCTTTTTAGGCTCCATAATATTATCAGTTTCTTTTTTAAATAAAAAGTTCAGAAAAGCACTTACAAAAATTCAGAGAACAGAAATCAACTAGCCAACAAAAAATTATTTAAATGCAAAGCCCAGATGGAATTCGAAATTTGGTATTAAAATGTTAATGAATACTGTATTCGATGAAGCAGTTAAACTTTCACTTTTTGTAAATAAACCCCTATGCAAAATATAACAAGTGCTTGTCCAACAGTCTTGCGAAGACTATGAAAAATTATTTGTCAGAAAGGTAAAGAAAAAGCTGGAATTACAAGGAAGAGTTTCAAAATTCAGAGGGATATTAAACTATCTGATCGGTATCAGGTTGAGCATTGATGTTGACGTCTCCCACACTCTGAAAGGATTCCAATTGTTACCTGAAGACAAGGGAAAATCAATTGGTATTTGTTATTTTACATTGCTTCTTTTTATGTTTGTTCAGTAAAGTGTTCATTATCTAAACATGTGTTCGTTGTCCGATCATAAAAATCTTTCATGAAAGTTTTTGTTAACTGATCACCCATTGTACATATGAGTATAAACATGTTGTTTATAAATTGTTTGTTAAAACTGTAAATGTTGATGATGATAATTTATTTTAGAAATTAATTATATAGTCTTGTATTCATATCAACTAATTGTAAATTTAAAGGATTCATGAACTTTTTGTAATTAGATTGAAAGAGCTTTGGCTCAAAGCTTTGATAATCACACTTAAAAATACATTAAAATGCCAGTTGCCAAAATCTTATTGTTTATGTAATTTTGGAATGATGTAACAGCTGTTAATGTAAGAGTCAACTAGGAAAAAACAAATCCTCTCTTTGATCACTCCAATAGAATATCTAGCTGGATATTTGTCAATTTGAATAGACTACAACTAAATAAATAATTATTAAATTGATGAGTCATCATTCACCATATATATAGTATGTCTAGAAATTAAGTTCTGATTGCATATCCTAATCACACAGGCACTGGTGGTTTGCTATTGTCAACAAGAACAAACAGACAACAGCTGACAAATGTAAGTTTTTGTTCTTTGGTTTGAAGTTTGTCATCATGCATTGAGGTGTCTGCTAAAGTTGAACTTTCCACTAATTATGAGATATGCTCAATTATTAAAATTTTTAAGTACCAAAATAATTTTGGTATTTAAAAATTTTTCAATATGCTAGCTGCTGAAATTCATTGCTAGATTTGTGATATGTATGGACCTGACCTGAGTGATGGAACGGTCTGGTTTTAAAGAAATGCAGATAGAATGTGCACGATAAAAATGGAAGAGGTTACTAGTCATTTGGACCCATTTATGCAAAACATTACCAACCGTCAATGTACTGTACCTAAACTGAATAAACCACAATTAAAGTTTTTTTTATTTTTAAACAAAGTATAGACTGTGGGATTAGTCTTTAGCTTTTTAAATACATTATTAGAAGCTGTGCAGTTTGGTTATTCCTGTAAAATGAAGATTGAACAAATTTCTTATTCAAACTTTGTGATATTGTAGATCTTCATGGACAATATCATATAACTTATCAAGGTAAATGCCTAAATATCTCACAGAAGAATTCACGAAACAACAGATGACAGCTGCACTCATATTCTTGGACCAGTATGATAAAAATGGTGAAGAACTATTAGACCACATTATGGCAGGCAATGAAACTTGAATTGCAAACTCAACACCAGAGATTAATCATCAATCAGTGAATAGAAGCATACTTACTTGTAAAAGACAGAGAAAGTGAAGCTGGAATCTTTCAAGAAGCTTATATGAAAAATTTTTTAGGATAGGAAGGGTGCTTTATTCATTGAGTTCCTGCCTTATGGTGCAACAGTGAACAACAAAAGTTATTGTAATATCTGAAAAAATTATGACAGGCTATTCAAAACAAAAGACATTGTCTACTGAGCTCTAAAATGATTTTGTTTCACAATAATGCACTGCATATTCAGCCTATAGCATACATGAATTACTGAAGAAATTTAAGTGGAAAATCTTTGAACACTTACCACAGTCCTAATCTATCACCTACTGACTTCCATTTGCTTTTGCATTTGAAGAAGTTTTTGGGAGAACAACATTTTAACAATGATGAAGAGCTGCAGACAACTATTGAATATGGGGGTCTTAAATTGGCAAGAAAATTCTTTGATGAGTGCAAATTCTTATTTGTCACTATGACAAATGTCTGAAGCTAAAAGGTGAATATGTTGAAAAATAACTGTAACTATGTATTTTTGTAAGACAATAAATGTAAGTTTCTGTTCCTTTCTAGCCAGTCAGAATTTAATTTCTGGACATGCCTTCTATATTCAAACAGTTTCTTTTGATTTCCTGAAGTTAAGAAACATTTCTAAAGAGAATGATTCACTCAGTTTCTCAATTAAATAATGAAATTATAAATGTTCTTTTGGCATTCAAAAAAATTTCTGAAACAATATTTCAAAGTTAGAATAGAACAATGGAATTTGTTATTTTATTAGGAAGAGAATATTTTGAAAGTTAGTAAAGGTAAGTTAGTAGATTATTTGTTAGAGAAGTATTTTCATTATTTTTGGAATGTTCTTCATGTTATATATTATCAGTTTAAAAGTTACATTTTATCATTGGTGTAAGTTTTTTAAATTTTGATAGATTAGATTATATTTTAGGAAATATTTATGAAATAAAAATAATTAAATTCATTATTGGAATTTTAATCATATGTACTGGTTATATTTGATAATATTGTGAAGTTGATAGAAATAAAAAAAAAACACTGTTATTTTTAATATTACCAAAGAGTTTAATGTTTTTTGCCTAACTTTTGGCTGTCTTTAGCATCAAATGGAATATTTTTTAAATGGAATAGAACACAAATCAAATGCAACTAACATTTGATTTTTAAGTTTTTCTTGAGGAGATCAGTAATCCAAAAACATTAGAAATTAAAGTGGTTAATGCAATTATTAAGGTTTTTTGAAGTGTCTTTAGGATAGAACACTTTAACAATTCAAATTTGCACAACCTTGAATTGTAAAATCATTACAAATTAAAATTTTTTTTAAATATATTCAAAGATAAATTAAGAATATTTAGATATGGTATATTTTAAATATTAAATAATAATGTAAACACAATAATAATTTTTAAATATTTAAAAGCAATATAAATGTATACTTAGAACATAAACTACTAGAAAGATTTTTAATTTACAAAAATTAAAATTGTTACAACTTAAAAAAAGAGTTCTGCTTCATTTAAAAACAATTTGATGTTGAAAAGGGCCAAAAACTAAGTCAAAAACATTCTATTTCATATAAACTCTTTGGTAATCTTAAAAAATAGCAATGATTTTAGTTTTTTTATTAGAATATGGTGCCAAGATTTGTTGGTTTTTCCAAAATTGATAAATATCATTTATTTTTGATTAGGAATATTTCAATATTTTCTAAAAATTGAAATGTTATATATATATATATATATATATATATATATTTCTAAAAGAAAAATAAAACCTCTCTTTCAGGCTATGATTGCATCAGTGCAAGTAGGAGAAGATCAAAATAATGTTGAACGACAACGGATTTCTCAAGAAGAAGAACTGTATAGACAAGATGTGACAAAATTAGAAAAGGATTTATCGTAAGTTATAACTTGTATTCATTACAACTCAGTTTACATATTTTCTTTATAGATTTGAAATTAGAGCAAAGAGTTGTAATAAGAAGTTGTGTTTGTTTCCAAAATCACTATTGAATCATGATAAACTATAAACTAGATGAAAATATTTTTAAATGAAACAATTTTTTTTTCCAACAATTTTTTTTTGTAAATAGTCTGAACTTCTAATTGGAAGAAGTCTTTTTTTGTAAATAGTCTGAACTTCTAATTGGAATTTTGAGTTCACCATGAAAAAAAATTTTTTTTTAGTATAATTGTAATTTTTATTGGCATAGAAGGCTTTCGCCTGTTACAAGGGCATTTTATTTTAAAGAAACGCATATTGACATCTCATATAATAATATTTTAACAACATTAATATTTTCTATTTACTAATCTATAAAATTATATTAATAATTTGTCACAATTATCATTTAATTAGTTGTTTAACATAGTTATATAACATATAAATCATGTTAACATTAGCTCTATCAAATGTCTTATACACTTCCAACTCACTAGTACATTTAGCCAGCAGCCCAATCTGGAGTCTTTGTAGTTTATCCTTTTTGTTACAATATTCATATATAATATGAATTTTAGATAAATTTTTGGTACAATTTGGACATTTAGATTGAATGTAATCTATATATTTATCATTTATAATTACAGTAGAGCATCGATTATCAGACCCCTGATTAACCGTCACATCGATTAACCGACTGTTCTAGTCGGCAGATTTCAAATGTCCGCTAGTGATGTGGCGCTACAATATTTGGCTATGTCTTGGCTACTTTAATATTATTTTTGTTAAATTTTTGCGTGTTTTAGCTGGCAACACGACTCAACCATTGAAGGGAGGCCAGTATTTAAATACTGGCCTCCCTTCAATGGTTGAGCCAGTATTTAAATACTGGCCTCCCTTTAATTTTCTAATTATTATGTTTAATTTTCTAATTAGTTTAATTTTCTAATTATGAATGGTTTTGTTTTGTGAGCAATAAAATAATTTTTAACAATACAATAGCGACGATTATNATCCTGCACTGAGGTGATGTACTGTACGTAATAAACAAGGAAGCAACCGAATCCCAATGGGAGCTCTGTACTTCGGATATACTGATAATATATTCTAATAATACTAATATATTATAAAAATAGCAGACTGTCATTGGCAACGGCAAAAGAATGGAAACATCATTCACACTTGTTCGTAGAAAGACCATTGGTCGCCTCACGTAACTGCCGAACGGAAAGTCCGTTATCCACAGTGTACGTTATACGAGGGACCACTGTACTTTGATACAAAACCATTGTCATCAGGCTAATGAAAATCACAAATTTGGAACAGAATGTCACTATATGCAGTATAAAATTCTTAACATTTAAACATTTAACATTCACAGTAGAATTTGAGGCTTATGATTATGAAAAAGAATAAAAATTTGAAACAAAAGGCAAACGACAATAAAAGGGCAAATGGAACTCTCAAAACACATTCATGCCATGAGTCTATGGAGTGTTATAACATGGATGACTAGGGTAGTGTGGTTTTGTGGTAGTTTAAAAAGTGCAATCCAAAAGTTAGGAGGTTCAGGTGTGGGTAGATTCATGAGCACAAGGTGGAAGCGAGGGAAGCTGTCCAAATAAATAACACCCTACAATCGGCACAACATTTAGAGGGATGGTTTGGGTCTATAAAGGGTTGAAATTGGGCTCTATGACTTTTTTGGTCATATCTATATTTTATGATATCCTATTGGTGCACTGCTGAAAGACTCGTCAGCATTCTGGCTGTAGCATTAAAGTACCATGTGTTTTTTCTCATTGTTGGATGCAAAAGGAGTACAGCATAAACCCCAGATTTCTTTAGAAAGGAGAGCCTGACCCTATCATTTGCAGATAAGCATGTGTAAAGATGATTATGGAGAAAGAAGCAAGAGGAGGCCATGATTTTTAAAGATGCAACAGATATGTATAGAGAGGATACCAAGTATGGAGTTGGTGACCACATCCATGTTAACTGAATGTAGGACATTGTGCAGGAATAGAATGTAGGGCATTGTGCAGAAATAGCAAATTTTTAACATGATAAGAACATAGTAAAACTTAGTAGATGAATATCCTGACTTGCTATACTTCTATTGACACTTCTAGTACTAAGGGGATGAAGACTCGGGACGAGGTTTTTATTAATTTATCACAGCTTCAAATTCTTAGGTCATTCTACACATGCAAGCAAAACATCTTTGCATTTTTGCAAATAATTTTTGCCAACTATGTATTTGCATTTTTTACCAGATGCTTACTGTCTTGTATTTAAAAACATAAGTATTTTATCTGGATCATTTCAATCGTACTTTCAATTGTATATTGTCAGGCGTAAAGATGAATAGTAATAGGAAAAGCAAAGCTTTTGAATTGAATTCCAGATTGAAATTCCAAAATCACACAGGAGCACAATATAAGTTTTAATCCATTCCCACGTGAAAATAGATGATTATTCAGAAATCAGAATTCAGAGAAACTTGTAAGTATAATTGATGGAGAGTGTTTAAAGTCACACCTCGTCCTATATGTGAGTAAATATGGTATATACAGTATTTACAACTCAGCCAATTGCCAAGCTTCTGGACAGAAAATAGACTTTTGCCCCTTTAGACTTATGGGTACAGGGTAACATGTTTGTTATTTGGAATTGGTATTCTCTGTAAAATACCCAAAGTGTAAGAGTAGAAACAGTTATACAGTATTTACATTACAGACACTTGTCAAGCTGCTAAACAAGAGAAAGCATATGTCCACTACAACCTGTGGGTACAGAAAACTCGGTATGAATATTATACCGAGTTGGCAATTGCCAACTTCCAGGCATAGAAGTTTACATATGCCCACCACACCTTGTGGGATCAGAGTAACCACTATTTACAGTTTTTACATTGTAGACACATACTCAGCACCACAATTGACCATAACAGTTATTGTTGTTGTGTCACCATAAAGTCATTATCCAGTGCCTTTATCATGTCCAGGAAGTTTATCAAGTTATTAAATATTTCTTTATTAGTGATTAGTTTATCCATTTCACAGGTCTTGTAGAAGCACAGTCCTTATCAAGGCTTTCCTTTAGTCAGTGAATTTGTTGCAATCAAATATGTAATGTTCAGCATCTTCGATGTAGGTGTTATTGCAAGCACAAAACAGTGCATCTGACTTGCTACAGCCTCATAAGCATTATGTAATTTGAGTTCAATGATCTCATGCATTGATTGAAATAAAAAGGCTTTTCTAATGACAGCATAAATGGCAGAGTTGATTTAACATGAAGATTAAAAATGTTGCCAGAATAACATGGGAAATAGCATTAAATCTGTGATAGAGTAATATATTTTTTGAAGAAAAAATGAGTTCTGTAATGAATGACCAAAACCACTCCAGCAATATTTCCAGATGTCTAGTTGCTATATTCATCATTGTCTGAATAACAGCAATGTGTGCTAATAAAATTCAACAAAAATTATCTAAATATTTTTATATTTTGTAAATTTATTATGAATTTAATAGATCAATATGAAACATTTTCTAATTTAAAATGTTCTTCATTTATATTAAAAGATTATAAAATGATATTTGCCTATTATTTTATACTTGCTGTATTTTTGTGGATTGTCCAGCATGTCAGTCTGTCCAGGTAGACCGTGAAAGCAGATATTTCCATATGATAAAACCAGCATGCTGGCTTAAGTGAGATTATGCATCCCTCTCCGGAGGGCACATGAAAAAAATGAATGAGTTACATCACATATTGTCTCAGAAACTAGTTTTTATTCTAAAATTGTGAAACTCAGCATTACATAAAAAACTACATTTATGTTTAATTTATGCATTTTATCTTCTTTCTAACAATGTAAAATACTTGTGGAATGCATGTTTTATGTTTATTTTTTTAATTTGATCTAAAACTACAAAAATAAACATATCAAGTTTCAGAAATTCACTGTAAATTATCTCAACTTACACTGATTAACATCCACTTTTTGTGAAATTTGAAAGAAAGGCATTATCTTTCAAGGTCAGTATAGATTGTCAATGTAGCCCATGTTGACTAACTATTACTACTAATGTCAATAAGCCACTAATTATTTTATTGCCCTGTAAACAAAAACTTTCTTCTGGTTCTCAGTCAGTCAAATTACAATGTTATTATTTTATTTCACTCGGCAGAATGTTTTCTTTAACATTTATTTAACAATTAGTTGTGTTAGATCTGATTAATTTTATTTTTTTTAGTTGAAGTTTAACCAGCATGATGATCTTCCTAGTTATCAATATATGCAGCGTTCTGGTCAATTTGTGAAAATACAGTATTATTACTATAAATTTCTTATTATATGAAACAAAGAACTTAATTGATTTTTTATGATTATGTAAAAAATAATGAAGTTATTAGAGTTTTAAAATTGCAAAGTTTAAATTATTGTACTATTTTTGAAATTTATTTTTCTATAAAATATTATGGTAAAATAATACTTCAAAAAATAGAAAATCTATAGAAAAATATTTTACGTATGAAATACTAACTTTTTATTCAGATGTATTAAAAATATTTTGTGTAAAACATCACAGTAATATCATCTCAAAACACTTTTTGCAGACATAGCAGCTTATGTGAAAATTTTAGTTTATCAAGAATGAGAGTAGCTGATAGTTGAAAACATGCATAATGAGGGAAGATCAATATGTAAAGTGAAATATTTTTTAATAAGACAATTGTAGGGGGCAGAGAAAAAGTGAAAGACACAAATGATTGTGTACTGTCTACTTTATTTTTCAACATGAGGCACTTGTCCCAGCATTGGATCAGTTTCATAATCCCTCTCTCATAAAACTGTGTAGACATGCCATCATTTCCTTTTTCACTTCCTTATTATTGGAAAACTTCTTTCTTACTAGGGCTTTCTTCGGAAGGCCAAAAAGATGGA